GATACGCTTCAGCAGTGCCTGTAAGTCCCTTACTTCCTGCTTTTGCTTCTTCCGATGATGTTTCTCCGACGTGGATTTGCCTTTGGCGTTTTTACAGCTCCCTTCCGACTCGGATGACTCGGAGCTCTCTGGAGAGGATGTATTATTCTCCGAGTTGGAACTGCTGTCATCCGGGCTCGAGTCGGAGCCGTCGGGTGGTTTACGCCCTCCGTTGTGCCCACCTCCGTTTCCAGCACCGCGTCCCGTAGCAGACGCACAGTACCATCCTCCGTCTGGTACTTGCGACGGTTCCTGCTTATACGCGGCCGGCGGTGTCCGTTTATGCGACGTAGGTCGGTTCTGCCCGGCCGTGGGCTTCGCAGCTCTTGATGTGCGCCCTCCTGCGAAATTTTCCAAGAACTCACGCTGTTCTGATGACCTTGGCACGCTTTTCTGTTTCTGATTCGCCGTAAAGCGGCCATTCGTGTCCGCGGGGGCGGGCGTGTCTTCATCTTCGATTTCCACTATGACAGCGTGGAATCGCAGACTTGTTTCCTTTTGTAATCGCGCCTGTCTTTCCGCATCTGCCGTTATCATTGATGCCCTTATGGCCTTCTGTATACTTTCGACCTCATTGCCGTCGTTCTGGATGGAAACTGCGTGCCAAAACTCGTCAAGCAGTAACGACCCGATTGTGAGGTGGCTGACTTCTGGCAACGTAGGTGTGTCCCCAGCTCTCGTCGAGAGCCAGTCCCCAGGCAGTGGTCCCAGTTGATCCTCGGCATCACACAGGTCAAACCAGTTGGGAAAAAATTTTGAGGCAATTTTTATTGACGGGTGAACATCCATGATCGCACGACTGCCGGTCCTGACAGGCATCCACTGTTCCATCCCTAGTACTATTGCAACTTCGTCCTCGGAATCGCCTTCCGACGTCCCATCCGATGCCGATTGTTGAGCGCTCTCGAGGCGTTCGAGAAGCGTATCCTTGTAGGATTCCGCAAGGCTGCCATTACGGCGCTCTTCCGTAGAGGAATCAAGGCTGCCTTCACGGCGCTCGGCTTCAAGATAGCTGCCATCGCGGCGCTCGTCCTGATCCTCTGGGAGGCTGCCCTTCTGGCGCTCTGCCCTTCCCTCAGACCCGCCCTCCGGGACGGCCTTCGGGTCCGCAAGCGGAACGCTTACTGTGGTACGTGTGCCCCTATGTCCCCTATAAGTTCTTACAGGGGTAGGCTGCTCTGGCTCGATGCCTCGTGCCGCCCGAACCACTCTACGTGTAACTCGTCCCCCCGCCGTGGTTTCCATCACACGGCCATACTCTTCTAAGCCCCACTTCACCCCCAGATTAACTTTGGAGGCGTCATGGGTGGGGTACGAGCGTCCGCGCCGGTGCGCGGACTCGGTTGTAGGGGGAATAAACGCGGGGTTGGATAACTCACCGGAGCCCTCCAACTCTGTCCACTCGCCCGGTACCCTACCGGGGAGACCGGGACTGGCGGCCGCCTCGTCTGAGGTCTGCTCCATCCCTGATGCATTCGAAGTAGTCGACATATCGAATGCCTGCAAATCGTCTGACAACAAGCGGGTGATCAAGCCGTTGCGTCAGCTAAGAGAACAAAGAGAGAAAAAAAATACTCAAAAAAAATGTGAGGTATCCGGCGCTCTACGAGCTCGCGTTGTCGATTGGGTGTCGAGAGTCAAGCGAGAGAGAGAGTGAGAGCGGAGATACACACGAGAGCGTCGAGACGCGAGATGAGTAGTAGTGTCTCGAATTCTCGAACAGCTGGGGCTTTCCCCGAGTAGGTACAGGGTTATTTATACTAGTGTAGGATAATATTAAGTAAGCTGAAAAGAGAGAGAGAAAATTAGATGGTGAATGAATAAGCGAGTCTGGGCTACGATAGGAGTAAGGCGGTTGTCGGACGGCGTCCGAGAACCGAATAAGGAAGCGAGAGTTCCGTTTTTGGGGTAGTAAGCGCTGGCCCTCTTACAACAGCTTGCCTAACACAGCCGTCACAAGATATGGAACGGCACAGCCGGTTACTGCAATAACCGAGGCTGTACTACTCATGTGGTACACACACAGCTTCG